TTTCCCAACAATTAAGGAAATTCTTTATATTGTACAAATAAACGAAGATGCTATAAAACTTCTTTACTAAAACGCTGCAACAAATAAAAAACGACGACTGCTGCGGCTGATTTAGTTAAAACCTTGTAATAGGTATAAGAGTTCTTTCACTCCATGAATTTTTTTGTTTGTTTAAAAAAAGTATAGCGATATTTTATATCGCTGGCGTTCATAATAATAATTAAACTTCCAACGCAGAACTAAGATAATCGGGGAAAATACTAGAAACAAAGTTTCATCAGTTGCTTTCATTGAAACACGAATAAAAAGTCAGGGAAGTATAACGACTTGAATGTAGGTAAATGTCTAAATATTCTTTTTCGACCACTTATTTTTGACTACGCGATTGGAATTGATGGAAAAAATCCTTCGTATTGTCTAACAAATTGATAGAAACACTTTTACGATAACGTCTACATTAAATTAATTTTGCTCTGAATGTAATTATCTCCTACATATCAAGCCAAATATGCATTACACTTGTAAAGATCATCCGGGTTTTGTGGAAAAAAAGGCCGATTGGTTTAGTTTCTAAGTTGTTAATTTATTCATGTGCTATCTACCCTAAAGTCTGTTTTACATTGCTATTTGGTTCCTGGTTGAAATAGGTAACTTACATTCTAGCAGCCGCAAATTGAACAACTTTCTTATATTATAGAGTATTAAATGTATATTGTTTAAAATATATTCTTCATTTAGAATACACAGATCTATGGTGTTGTAATTTAAATTGATGCAATTGATAATATCCAACTACGAAGATTAGCAACGTTGGCGTAAACTGATTTTCACAGAGAATAATAATAATAGAAAGACAGATACAAAAGAATTCGAGTAGAAATATTTACAAAAGGGTGTAACATAATGTTTAGTCAAATATATGTTTTAAATTAAATATAGCGGTGTTATTATCCGCCACACTATATAATTCCTTCTATTAACTGCACAATTCAGAGACAAAAGCGATCCTGAAAACAATTTTTGCCGTGTGAATACTCGGCATGAGTGAATACTTCTATACAGTCCATTTCAATTTGTTGGAATTGTGACCTTGAAGAAATCNAGGGTATTTCCTACAGCCAAAGGGCCTCCAGAGTCACCCTGTATTAAAGAAATAAATATCAATATTAATTATCTATTGATTAAATATACTTTAAATATTGGGATAAGTTACAGAGATAGGAGACTGATACTTAGTTTGTATAAAGAGCAAAAGGCAGTTACAGAGATGGGGCTGCAACGTAGAGAAGTAAAAATTAGGAAGGGAGTCAGACAGGGATGCACACTGTCACCGCTACTTTTTAATATATACATCGAAGACGCGATCAACATCATTAAAGACAGTGCAACTGTAGGGATAGATATACAGGGGCAAAATATTAGTATGCCTAGATTTGCAGATGATTTAGCATCTAGTAAGGATAAGTTAAGGCTAGCATTAAATAAAATGGAAGCGGTATTTACAAAACAGTACTGTATGAAAATAAATAAAAGTAGAACAAAAATACTGGTATGCAGGAGAAGAAAATGGCACGAAAAGAGAGAATATAAAGATAGGAGACGAAAAATTAGAAGAAGTGGCCGATTTTAGGAATCTAGGCAGTCAGATAAGTCAGGACGGAAGGAGTAGTAGGGATATAAAGCAGAGGATAGCGCAAGGTCGAGTCGCCTTCAATAAAAAGAAGTCACTTCTATGTTCGCGAACGGTTAATTTAGAAATTCGAAAAAGATTATTAAAGCAGTATGTCTGTGACGTAGCGCTGTATGGGTACGAAAATTTGAACGGTATACGCGGCGGAAAAGAAAAGATATAGATATGGGGTGTTACAGGCGAAAGACTATAGGATATCGTGGATATATAAGGTTAGAAATGAAGAGGTATTAGAAAGAATAGGAGAACAGAGGACTCTGTGGAAATGAACAAGGAATAGGCGAGATAGGTTAGTAGGACTCCTTCTCAGGCATGAGGGTTTAGTCAGAGACATATTAGAGGGAGAAACGGGAATTAGGAGGGGTAGAAGTAGACCTAGATTGGATTACTGTTCGCAAATAGTTAAGGGTGTGGGTTGTTCAAGTTTTAGGGAAATGCGAAGATGATCTTAGAATAGTAAAGGGTGGAGGTGGGTGTCCAACTAGTCTTAGGATTGACGACCTTATTTTGATGACTGATTATTCGTTTTGGGGTATATCCTCGTCTAATTTTAAGGTACATACAGTTGTTCAAAATAGTTACACTTACATAACAAGGACTTTTGTAGTCAGAACTATTTCCTGCACATAACATTCTTTCAGTATGCACACCAGGACATTGGCTATCAGCAACAACTGGTAGTGTAACTTTTTGTAACTGTTCTGGGGCTTTATGGCTAAAAGCATTTAAATCTCCCCATCCGGAAACGACAGCTGACGTTCCTATCGCAGGTTTAGCTCCCGCAAGGGATATTGGAGCTATATTTGGACCAAAAGTTAGTGGTGAAGCAAGTTTGATTAAACCTATGTCATAATCCAGGGTATCATTATTAAAATTGGGGTGAACATATAAATTTGAGGCCCCTATTACCACTCCGTCTTTCATGAATTTGTCTGTTCCCGCTCGTATAGTTACATCTGATGCAAGCAACCTGGAAATAGAGAAATTTAATATCGTTATAAAATGTATTTTTGATATTAAATTTGGATCAGTAGGAAGAAATATTTACAAAAAGAAATGGCGTATTTTGCAATTAAAGAAAGAAAATTCGATCGCTTATTATTCGTAATGTTAATAATCGATCTTTTTAAAATGTGGAGCACTTTCATATTTTGTTATAAGTAAGAATTCTTGATGAGGCTTCTATGTGCTTTTGTTCTTGAAATATTTAATGTTAAATGAATTTAATTTATTTGACTTTGAACACGATTAGTTAATAAAGGTGCGTCATTTTTCGGACAATTATAAAAATAAAAAGTGTGTAAAATACATATGGCGAAAAGTGCTCTAGAGAGGAGATATTGGTCAAAAGCTGTTACAGGTAAAAGTATGATGGATTTCAATGACAAGGAACCAATGCGCCTAAATTTTAACTTTCCTGTAGGTATATAGGGTTTTCAAAATTTTTTGAAATTTGCGCACGCGCGTGTGTGTGTGTATACGAAGTGCGTGATCATTTTATTTTCCTGATCCATATCGGGCGAACAAAAAATGTTATCGACTTCGTTGAGGTGCCGATCGAAGCGTGTATTAACGCCAATATGATCCGAAAAAAATTACATAACATTCGGTTGAGTTCTTGTTTTCTTGTTTAAACAAAAGTTTGGAAAATATTTATTTGATTGGTTCTGATATAACTCGATATATTAGCAGATTTGAATCAGTTGCCTCCTGTACTGGGAAGTGGACCTTAGTGGTCCCACCAGTAATGCTACACGCAGAGTCCAGACCTAGTTTTCTTTCTGTAAAGGCACGTGCTTTTTTCTGTTTGGACGATTACATTAAAATTTAAAATTATATTGTTTGCTATGTAGGGTCTACACATTAATATTATCTATCTACACATTCAACAGAGTACCTACAATCAGCAAGCTACCAACAGAGTATTAATTTATTAGTTTTAAGTGTCTTTGAATAATGCTTATGTAACTAATTTCACCGGAGTCGAATCAAATTGTATCAACCCATTACGATTTTAGCATCTATCTAAAAAGAGTGTACAAACACTACGGTGGTATAGCTCAACTCAACTCGATTAGTGCTTTTAAAATACATAGGTTTAAAAATTATCCGGATGCAGTAAAAAATTAATATTTAATGACACTAGAGTTTTATATTTAATGAAATGCAAATTAAAACAGAAAATTAATAAGACGAGTATTTTCAATCTTGTATTTGTATTTGAAGTGGGACTATATCAGATCTGTCTGTTAGTAACTTGTATTAAAGCTTTTTAATTTATTAACTGATCCAGTCACGCGCTGCTGTGGCTCGTTAATTCGAATATTTTAAACGAATATTACACTAAACTTTTTAATACCTACACAGTCTAATTAAAATTCACTAATAAAGACAAAAATTGTTTAGCCAATCTAAAAACGCGCGGGAATGAGAATGAAACATTACGTCAAAATTTCAATAATCTATCAAGTGCTGATTGGTGCACAATATTTTTTGCTAGCCCGTCTTCTTGTAACAGAAATTTATTTGATGGTTTTCCCACACGGGAGCAGGCGATATGGGAGAAACATAGCGAATAAACAGCGAGCTGACGCATAAAAAAACCATCTCGTTCTTGGTATATCAGCTTTTTAAGTATTTAGAGCATTTTTCTTATATTGTACAAAATAATTCGAAGTGGTCTGTATTCTGTCGAAACTGCCAGACGCGGATCGCGATTTCGATCTTTTTGGATCTCATCAGCGCGTCGCAGGCAG